AGATTCGAGTTTTATTCTGAGCCCAGTACTTAGAATATTTCGCTCAATATATTTTGTAGCATGAGGAGAGTCGAGCCTTCGTCAGCTACCCATTTCAGATACTTCAGCCTTTGCATTCGCCAGTTTCCAAGTGGGGACCATGTACTGTGTATTTCATCGCCTTTTATAATTTACCATGTCTGAGGTGTATATATAATTAAATTGAAGGACCGAGACAGATGAGTGATCCCGTCTTGGTCAAGATATCAGATGTCAGTTATGACTTAGATGAGTGGGCGAGGCCCAGCCAAGATTTCAGAGGGAGGGGACCCCCAAAGTGTTCACATGAGTACCGTTTACCGTTAGTCCCATAGTCATACCAGATTATTCATATATATGTGATTTCATAGTTTGTTATTAATTGTGCTGAGTATTCCGTATTGGTCCTGATAGAGCACTGTTGATTCCTTTGTGCTCACGCCTCCTCACTACCCTCTTTTTCAGGTGATGGAGTCCCGCGTGCAGCGTGAGCTGGATATGTGGTGGTGGTCATCCGCTATGATATATTGATATGCCATGTCATATAGTTATTTGAACATGTCTAAACTATCTTTTGTCATCGCATGTTTACTTATGTTTGTGTGTGCTTTCCGAACTATTTCTGCTTCCGCATTTCATAACTATGTTTCAGAATTTCAGAACTGTAACGCCTCACTTTTGTTTGCCGAAAATCAAAATAATTTTTTTGAATTTATTTCAAAACAATACTTGAGGCGCTACTCATTTTCAAATCAATAATCAATACTTATCAGTCATCAATACTCAATCCTCAATACTCATTCATCAATAATCAATAATCCAACACTAGTTCATTTCAATAATCAATAACCAATCCAATTATTCAATATTCATACAATCCTAGGGAATACATTCCCTATCAATAATACAGTAATCAATAAGATAATAATAACAATAATTCAATTTCAAGCGGAAGCAACAATAATTTTTGTGACCACCACTCACTTCCCTCCACCGTGCCCGCCATACTAATCTGCATCCATGAAGAGCAGATGGGGATGAGCACAAGAGAAAACAGTAGTGCACACCACTATGCTGTAAATGTTATCCTCAATAATAAACAGTAATCAATAATCGAAAGGTATGGTCTCAGCATGTATACGAAGCAATAATCTATCCCATTCTCCTATCAATAATCACAATAATCAGACTCATGTGCACACCTACGCATAGACTACTGCAGATACACAATTTGAACACAAAGACCTATGACTTGGTCTTACAATGATGCCCAGCCAGTAGGAGTAAACCACCCCGCCGGCCAAAACCTATGAATTGGTCTTACAATCGGGGATCACCAGTCAGAACCTACGCCCTGGTCTTACGGCTCTCAAGGGAGACTATTCAACGGGTACGTTCTATAGCTACGGGAAAAACCGTTCAGTGACCGGTACAGCTCACACCGAAGGCTACATGATTAACATGCATACTTTGATCATACCATAATTAAAACAGTAATAACATTTAAGGCATAGCAATTTTAAAATAAAACCCACCTGGTGTCGGATGATAAAGCAAATTAACCAGAAATCCATAGGTGGTTGAGACACTGCTCGTCAGACACCTACATGAGTCAAGACAGTCCCATAAGAAACTATCTCGACTCTTACACAGATAACGAGAATTATACTTAGTCCAATCACATCGACTAAGAAACTCGTGGAAGTTGTGGAGTTGGAACATTATGACGACTTCTAGACTCAACCAACCAACTAATAAATCATATAAAAGCAGGAAACAAAGATTTGACACGAAAATGGGGTCAACAGGTCAAGGTTTTGCCAACAAGGTCAACCAGTGCCCAAAAACGGTTAAACGGACTAGTTCAAAACTTATAAGAATCGGACTATAAGGAGTTAGGCTTGGGCTTTTCAAATCAAATTTTTACAGTATATATAAGACTGAAAAACACACATTTTCACCAAAGGAAAGCCCCTAAACATGCTCCTAACTATTTTAAATAATTTAAGAAAAATCTGACCAAAAATCGAATTAAATCATTTAAAATAGCTACAGTCCGAATTTAACTTTGAAATTTTTACAGCTGCACTGTATCATGAAGAACAACAACATATCCAAATATTAGCCATTTCGGACAAGAACTCGGATATGAATTTATTACGAAACAGTTCAGAAATAGTTTTTGACTTTTGACGAGGCTACAGACCATATAAGAATCCCAAATTTTAACTACACCGTAATATTTCATCAATATAACCATATATCCAAAAATCAGAATTTTTGGAGCAATATACGAATTATAGTGATTTTAGATAAAACGGGCTGCAGCATGATTTTCAAAAATTCATAACTTACAAAATACACATCGAAACGACGCAAGGCCAGAGCCATTGCATCGAGGACATTCCTAAGTCCAATAATTCACAGAACTTCCACATAAAATACCATATTAATCTCAGTACAACAATATTCCAAAGTGACGGCGATCACTTTGGTATCCAATAGCAATTATATATCAATAATTCACTCAAATTCATATCTAAGTCACATAAGTAATTCGAAATTTATACCGTTCAGCATATTAACACGTATACGAGCACTTAAACACATATAGGAGCGAAATAAATAAATTTAGGGTTGGCTCGGGTACTGTTCTCGGGACGGAGTATCGAATAACGAGCAAAGAGAGGCTGAACGGGCTGAAACGGATGCACGAGGGCACCGATGGGGCTCGACGGCTAAGCTTCGGGTCGCTCGAGGGTTGTGCAAGTGATCATCGGGGGCCGGGCAGCAATAAACAGAACCCGACAATGATGGAAAGCAAAGGAAACGTATGACAAAAGCACGAACAACGGGAATGGGTTATCGGCGGCAATGGATGGTGCCACGCGGTGCACGCCGGGAAACATCGAGTCTTGCGTTCCGGCTCGCTAGGGATGCCAGAAAACAATCGCGGAGGCCGTCGGATAGCGGGAACTTGCTGGTGGTGCTCGACCGAAACTTGGAGGCTTGCGGTGGCGGCTGACAACCAGACGGAGGGGACGATGGCGCTGCGGGACTGCTAAAAAAAGCCAAAGGATGGTCATTGCTATGAAACGAAAGACCAACAAGGGATGCCGCTGTTCTTCTCGCACGAGGTTGCAAACAGAGAAACTCCAGCCCACCAACTCGATGATGGCGGCTTGTCAGACGTGGACGGGACTCGGTGTTGTGGTACACGACCACTGCTCGCTGCGAGGGATTGGAGGTGCTGCTCGGGAACTCCTTCTCTCGTTATTGGTCCATGACGTTGTTGCCTGCGATTGAAGGGCTTGAAGGCGATTGAAATTCAGAATCAATAGTAGGTTTGGATGATTTCCAATCAATGAAAGAAGGTGGTTTGCTCGACTCTTGGCGGCGTGAAATATGTTCTGCTGGAGGAGGTTTTTGATCGAATCTTGGGCTAAGGAGAAGTCTGATATGGTGAATACTGGAAATAGGTTTCTAAGAGATGAGTGTTGCGGCGAATTTGTAAGGAAGAGAAGAAAAAAAGAATCTTTTATTATTATGTAGATTGGAGAGGAAGAATATAATGAGACTAAAGCAACAATTATTTCTACTCCATTGAGGCTAAGGTGGCATGAAAAAAGAGCTTAAATAAAGTTTCTAAAATTTTTATTTTAATCTCCCAAAACAATCAAGAAAAAGCCAAGAAATTATTTGATATTGATCAAAAAAAATGAAACCCAAATCAAACAAAAAGGGGTCGGCTAAAATGATCAAAGAAGGTCGATGGGCGTGGTGCGCAGGCTGGTTCTCTCGGTTTATATTACAATTATAGACGAGACTTTGAAAAATCGCACGATAATTAATATAAGACCGAATACAATAAATATATATATATATATATATATATCTCTTATCTCTCTTATATCTTATATGAACGAGTTAAGACAGTTGTGGTCGCAACACGTGTCCTTTTTTGACCTTTCTGTTGGTCGACACGTGACATTTGCTATTTATTTTTTTTTTCTTACATTGTGCAAAACGACACCGTTTTAGTGTTGTATTTTACTTACTTTTATTTTATTTATTTTTTTAATATAGCAAAATGATAGGCGTGTTTTGTTATGATGTGAAAAGTACTTTTCTGGTTTTCCTTCACACGCTACCTCCACCGACTGAAAGCAAAAATACATTGACCTGTCTTTACTTAATTCTTAAGCCAGAGCAGAAACTTCTGCGATCTAAAAATCAGTTCCCCTCTCTTCAAAACTTTAGCCATGGAGAAGCTGCAAAAGTTGTCGCACCTCTTCCGAGATTTCTGGACCTGAAAATCTGCGTGCGTGATGTGTGCTTTCAATCCTTTGTACAGTAAATTGTTTTCTCGTATATTGGGGCTGATTTCGCGTATAGGTAATTGTTGTTTGTTGTATCTCATTGTTTTAAGAAACAAATGCCCATGTCTCATTTTCTCTCCGATCAATCTTTTTTTTTTCACATTACACGCATAATTTCTCAGGACAATTCTCTCGGGGGCAAAAGTGGTGGACGGACTCGCGGTGGTTCGGCGATGGAGAGCAGCGCTCCAAGAGGGTCCACTTTTGTCGCCATCGGGCTTCACAAACCAATCCCTAACCTTCGCTCCCCACTCACTGCCATAGCCGCAAGGCTGCCGACTCAGTCGCCGCCGCTGCAGCGGTTATCAATTAACATATCAGCCAACTTTCCTCTTCCTTTCTGATCGCTCGCCGCTGGAAAACAAAGAAAGGGAAAAAAAATAGAAGCGACCAAACCCTCGTTGCTTATTTCCCTGCGAATTTCGCCGTTTCACAACAACGTCGGAAACTCTAGACGAGCAGAGCTTTCACCGCAGCTAGAATTCCACCACGCTGTAGGACAAGATGTTCGTTGTTACAGACTACAACACAAATCCCTGAGATCCGGTGAAACCCGCCTCATATCTTTAGACAGATCCGAGTGCAGAAGCTCAGCCCCGGTAGATGCTGACAAGCGGTAGGCTGAGCCCGGGTAGTTCACAAGCGGCGATGGTTGGGGTGATGAAGGTACGTCCTTGGACGACAACAACAGTAGCTCCGATGGAGTTCTTGTTGGGTATGTACAATTTGTTTTTCTTATGCGTATAAATTTGTTCTCTGTGTTCTTATCTCATCTTTCGGGGACGATAGTACGGAAAAAGAGCTTAACGTCAGTTATGCCCACTCTGAAACATTGTCGAGACTCGAGCAGGCAGCTCGGACAGCGTTATTCATTCCTTGCTTGGCTATGTAAGGTTGGTAGCTTTTGTCGGGTTGTTGGGAACTGAATGAATCTGCTATTTACATACTACATATCTATGTAGCTGAACCCACACAATTGAACAAAGATTTTCTGTAAATAGGACTTATATTCCCTTACCAATTTTAGTAGGTAATCTCAATCTTTAATATAAGTTGCCATCGGCGTGGATTTTGCTATTGTTTTAAACAAGTCACCAGGATCATATGAGTGCAACTTTGCCTGCAGCTGTTTGTATCATTTGAGTGCAACTTTGCTATTGTTTTCACCAAGGATCATATGAGCATTATTGTTCTCCGTGAATTTCATAAAATGACCAATTTTATAAGTATGCATTATTCCATCAGTGGAATGTGGATTCATGTTGATATCTTTTGATTCTTTTGTCTTTTTATTTACTATATATATAAAGATAAACTACGGAAGCAAGAAAATCCTACCCACATGTACTAAACATAAACCAAAACCATTCACGTTTTATGCAATTAGAACCAAATGTATATGTAGGTGTCACCTTTACCTTC